CCTGTCCAAGATAGCCATCCGCTACGGCCATTAAACCAGCTAAGAATTGAATTAACAGTGAAGGCTGAGATCATCGCGGAGAAAAACTGTAAAGAAGGTTTGAAGCAGATGAAATACTAAACTTTTAACCTACTCAAAAAGTAGAGTAATGTTAGTTGTTGAGCATGATCAAGTGGTAGATAAATCACAAAATGAAATAACGCAATCACAATGCTGTCTTTGAACTTGTGAACAAATGACAGAATTGTGGAGGAGGAAGAGATTCTTCCGCAAAATCAGGTGACAATCAATAGATTCGCTCGCATGACATTTACATCCGCCCGATCGGTATTGAGATTAAAGGGAAATATCTGGATTTTTGATGAACATGCACTCACCATTCTCCAAGTTAGATTCTGATTCCAGAAGCTTGCACCTTCCTCTAGTGAAAAAAGAACACCACCAATGGGCGCACCGAAGGCTGCTGCAACTCCAGCAGCGGCACCGGCCGAAACAAAGTCACGACGCTCTCTGAAGCAGTGCAAAAAATCGAAGTTTTTGACAATTTCGGTTTAAAAAATGAACCTTACCGATCATTCCGGAACTCTTTGAATAAGCCAGTATCAAAATGTAGAGACTGACATCGACCCTGAGAAATACCGGCACCCACAACAGCGCCAGAGTGAATCATCGGACCTTCCTGTAGAAGGTAATAGAAATACTGTTTATCAACTGGATTTGAGCGAGAAGAGTGTTAGATTGTTACCTTTCCCGCTGATAAGCCTCCACCCACAGCGCATGCAACTCCGATTGCTTTAGAGACGAGGGTTTTCAATTTTACAACCTCTGGTATTTGGATACCATTCAGGAAGCATTTTATCTGCGGAATTCCCGAGCCTCCAGCAATTGGTGCCCAGAAAATAACCTAAACTTGTCATAACTCAGGAAAACCTCTGAGAGAGACAGATAAACCGAAGAGGAAAAGGAACAAAAGAACAGGAGAAAGGAAAAAAAGAGTAAGAAAATGGAAGAGATAGAACCCCAACAAGAGCGGAACTTGAAATTTTACAAGCAGGGCACAAATAAGAGTGTCTGAAGGGTGACTCAAGCCGGTCAAAAGTATAAATGGGGTCCGACTGGGTGGACGAAAGACGAATGGAGAAGTGAAACATGGATCGGACGAGAATAATAGGATAATGAGAAACAGTACTACATGGCCGATCCGATAGCATGCTTATAATGCAGTTGAATCTCATGTTAAACTTTTACGAAGTGAACGTAATCCTCAAAGAGCTCACCAAGCATCCAGCGATTCCAACAAGTAAGCAATTATAACAAATCCATGCTGTTACCACCTTCCACATACAGCCATCACCAGTAAGCTCGGTTTCCTTATCGCAGTTCGACAACACTGTAAACAACTCATAAAATTGCACAGCTTCTTTTATACGGAGGTTGCACTTACGATTTTTGATTATGAATCCAAACTTGATCTCTTGACTGTAATGTAGCATGATATCGATCAATGCAGCTACTAGAGCTGTGAAAATTCCTATGAAGAAACAGACAATCCATCGATTACGTGAACGTCGCCACAGCTTCACCTGAAAGTGATCGAGCTCAGGCGGAACCCATGAGATTTCATGATTCAAGAAATCGTACTAAATTGGATTCCAGATGAGGATCAGTTACTATGACTCGTCTGTGCAGAAGAAATTAGGACTCCACCTAACTATCAACTACAAAACTTACATGATGACTCGGTTTAGCTTCTTCCTCCCGATATAGCTGGTTCTCAGACACTTCATAATTGAGGCTTTCATACTTCGATGACAAAGCATGCTCCTGTTCCAGTTCTGGAGGTGGCTGTTGGACTCGGCGCCTCCGTAGTCGCTCCTCATCCTGAAGGCGTGATTCCGACATTCTGACAGCGGAACGGTAATCTTTAGGTTGGCAACCAGGTAACTGCGTAATGTAATTTACAAAGCTGTGAATACCTTTTCTTTTACAAAAAAAGAGAAATATGTACTCGGCAATATATCGCCCTTAAAAGGTTAGGATAGTCTATAAGTATAAAACACCATGAAAAACAAGTAGTTTTTTCTTGAAATAAATGTCCAAAGTACTTAAATAGTACGCAATTATTCAGTTGACAACCTAATAAAACGGTCACTAGCTCGTACCTCCCTCCTGCGTCGAGACAGGTTGCTGACGTTCGGAGATGAAGCTACTCTCTCCAATCCAACCACCGGATCCTCGTAGGGGTCAAGGCTAGAAAAACAAATAGCAAGTTAGGCAAAGTCATGGAGACCTCTTTTTTCCTATTTGGGAGATTTGGGAACGAAATTTGGGGGGCATTGCCAAATTTAGGTCCCACAGTCAGGATAATACGCCTGCGAAAGTTTCTGTGGCAACCTTGCAGTTGCCTTTTACTTTGCGATAAGTAACAAGATACTGTAGTAGAGCATCAAAAGATTTGCAACGAAGTCCCCAATTCTGCTCAAACGAGGTTTTTTTTAGAAGAATTCATTTGCTCAGCTGAAACCTGCAGTTGCACGGGGCACGATTTTCTTTGATTAAGCTGTTCACTTCAACTGAAAATAACGTACCTACTGGAAGAAAGAGCTCTTTGACGGTTAGAGAAAGCGGTGCGTACC